GAGTAGAGTTTCTATTTTTATTTTTATTTTGAATGTTAACTATGATTTTCATTAATATAAAGCGGAGCTCAAAACTACAAATTACAATACAAAGTAGAGAAGAAGAAATAAAGAGACTAAGCTCTCTGCTCCAAATATGACCCAACCGAGTCTAACAAAACACAAATAACCCTCAACACCTACGAGCGCAAATACACTAGCAACCTTATAATCATTGCTAAACCATACACAACAACTTCCACAGGTGACAAACTCCTTAGCATCCCACTCAAACTGAACCACAAACAAGACCTACAATAACAAACACCCCTTTCAACAGAAACCTTACAAGCAGGGGTTGGAACAAAGCACCAACCAGCATAAGATAAAAGGTACCCAAGAGAAAGACAATTCAGAGCTTAGTAGCATAGCTATGGGGTTTGAGTACAACCAGCAGCTAAAAAGCTGGATTTGAAAGAGAATGGAAGCAGCCAGAGAGTAGAAAAACTAAAGAGAACGAAAACTGGAGAAGAGCTAGGAACAAGGTAAGAGGAAAAAACCACGCACCAAAAGACAGGGAACCAAACTCAAATAACTTTCCAAAAAATAGTATCGTACTACCATACACAGGGTTCATCAAGGTCAGCAATCTAACCGTCCCCCATAATAAATGTTAGCCTTGGCAAGGTACAATGGTAACAACCTACCAAACACATGGTTCATCAAGGTCAAGAAACTGACTGTCCCCCATAATAGGCATTAGCCTTGGCAAGATACAATAGATTTTGAAAAAAGAAGTCGAGCAACAAGATGGCTAACCCCCCCAAGGAGGGTAACCCTATCTTAAGCGTTAACTTAAGCATGGAGAGTTACGAGTCGGGGAAGAGAGAGAAGGCCGAGAGCATAAAAAAAGGTCATAGACGAAGGTGGAGGGTGAACAAAGATGGGCAAAGATGAAGACAGTGGGGCGGTAGGAGTGTATAGGAGGGACGAATGAAAGCACCAAAAAGGGGGGCGACGAAAGGGAAGAGGGGGGAGAGAATTCTCCCTTCAAGGGGGGAGAGAATTCCCCCGCCTCCCCAGCCAAAAGGCCACTCTCTCTCAATCTCTAGGGGGGCCTCTCTCTCTCACACACACACACACACACACACTCTCTCTCTCTCTC